AAATTAAATAGAATTTCTGCAGGACATTAATAAGGTCAGAGAGCTAACTTTTATAGGTTACTGAGTTCTTTGGTTTAAGAAGAAAAAAATAAGGGATCCCTGGGTCGCACAGTGGTTTGGCGCCTGCCTTTGGCCCAGGGCACGATCCTGGAGACCCAGGATCGAATCCCACATCGGGCTCCTGGTGCATGGAGCCTGCTTCTCCCTCTGCCTGTGTCTCTGCCCCTCTCTCTCTGTGACTATCATAAATAAATAAATAAATAAAAAAAAGAAGAATAAAACAGCAAAGGAATCGGAAAGGTGTTTTCCATAGAGTGGGGATTATTTGTGGCAAGTGGGGTTTCATTCAGTGCTTCCCCATTTTTGGCCATGAGCTTAATGATAAAATGTGGGGACAGAAGGTGAAATGTGACACCCTGCAGGTGACTTTTGTCCACCCACAGGTGTGTGTGTGTGTGTGTAGCAGCACATCTCTAATCCTTATCTATCTCTTCTTATCCAAGGTCTGTATCAGGTCTTTTCTTGAGGTCTGCATCAGCATGGTGCAAGTCTCCCTCGTGGAAAGCATTCCCGGGTAGGGGGATCCCTGGGTGGCTCAGTGGTTTAGCATCTGCCTTTGACCCAGGGCATGATCCTGGTGTCCTGGGATCGAGTCCCACATCAGGCTCCCTGCATGGAGCCTGCTTCTTCCTCTGCCTGTGTCTCTGCCTCTCTCTCTCTCTCTCTGTCTCTCGTGAATAAATAAATAAATAAAATCATAAAAAAAAGATGGAGGCGAGGAATTTGTAATATCTTAAAAAAAAAAAAAAAAAAAAAAAAAAAAGAAAAGCACTCCCGGGCTGTGAGGAGCTCCCTGTCCAGGCGTCTGTCCCTCTGCTGAGCACTGAACTCCTCGTGAGAACAGTGTGAGTTTCGTCTGTGTGTCGTCGGTGCTGGCAATGCCTGGCACACACAAGTGCTTTGCATGTGCTCGTTTAATGAATGAATCAATTTTCAGAGACTCAGCCCAAACTCCGTTGGTTGCAAGTGACAGAAACTCAATTTGAATAGCTTCAGCCTAAGAGAGAAAGTAGTATAAAGATCTAGAGTCTCACTTGGAACCCACAGGCAGGAACCAGGGCTCCAGGGCCATCAGGATGCTCTCCGTTTCTGGCCTCTGGCTCTCTCAGTGGCCGTTGCCACCTCCCCCCACCACGCCAGGTGTGTGCCGTCTTGTGGCATCCGCCCCCTCTGTTCCAGGACCCAGGATTTTCCAGGACGGACTGTGACTGGCTCCGTTCTGGCTGGGTGCACACCCCTGAGCGAGCCAACTGAGGTCAGCTGTCCTTATAAGACAGGCCAGGGGCCCCTGGGGGGCTCAGTTGGTGAGGCGTCTGCCTTCGGCTCACATCATGATCCTGGGGTCCTGGGCTCGAGTCCTGCATCGGGCTCCCTGCTCAGTGGGGAGTCTGCTTCTCCCTCTCCCTCTGCTGCTCCTCCTGCTTGTGCTCTTTCTCTCGCTCTCTCAAATAAATAAATAAAATCTTAGAAAAAAAAAAAAGGCCAGCTCCCATGGGGTGGAGGTTGACGGGAGAGTTCACAGGACAGTGTTCAGTGTCCTGGGCCAACATGGTCCCACGCGATGGCATCACACAGTCCCATGCCACTCTCTTGTGGTGGTAGATGTGACTGGCTTTCTGTCTCTGGGTGAGAATTAGCTTGATGTAGGTTTGTGCCTGGTACTCCTCCTTCCTTTTTTTTTTTTTTTTTAAAGATTGTATTTATTTATTCATGAGAGACACGAGAGAGGCAGAGACACAGGCAGAGGGAGAAGCAGGCTTCATGCAGGGAGCCCGATGCGGGACTCGATCCCGGGACCCCAGGATCACGCCCTGGACCGAAAGCAGTTGCTTAACTGCTGAGCCACCCAGGCGTCCCAGTACTCCTCCTTCCACTGGGTGTTTTGTTTTTGTTGTATCTGACATTAAAAACTTGCATTTCAATAGGTTTAAAAAATATATACTTTACAAATGCGCTTGAGTGAATCAACCCCCCACCCTGTTCTGGGCAGCACCGCGTGGTGGACGGAGTCCTGGAATTCAGGTCTCACAGTGTCCAGTTCAGTTCCTCTTTCCCCTGAACAGAGTTCCTGCCTTATTAAAATAACGCGTCCAGGAGTTTACCACTCTGAGAGTGCTTGTCCTTTCTAGGCGACCGTGGCTGGTGATTGTCGAGCACGTGCCCAGTGCCAGGCTGGCCCAAGCACTTTACATGTTCCAGTTTTTTCCAGATCCACAGAAGCCCAAAGGAGGAAGGTGCTGGTGTTATCCTCTGAAACAGGTGGGGACGGTGAGGCAGAGAGTGGTCTGCAGTTCACCGAGGTTGTAGAGCCGTTGCTGTGAGTAACCGAGGGATCGGGGGTTCTGGTTAGACTGGTGGCAGGGGTGGCCCTGATGAGAATGAGGAGCACTGGATCCAAGGCTGGACCGGGGGTGTGAGCCCCCCCAAGCCCCTCCTCAGTGGCTCAGGCAGGAGGAGGCCTCCATCTGCAGAGGGTCTGCTGCCTTTCCTGGGGAGACCTCCCCTGGGCGGGGAGCTGCCCTCCGCTCTGTCCCCGTACAACCTGGATCGACATGGAGCACCCAGGGGCTTGGTGACAAAGGAACAGAAGGCTGATGGGAGGGGGCTCATCTGTAATCACATGCTACTTTGGGGGTCCATCCCCCTGCTGTGCTCTTTCCTTCCCCCTGGGCCTCTGCTTCTTGCTCTGGGTGATGAGGGATTGGATCTGACAGTGCTGAGGTTTCCTTCCAGGGCCGAGAATTCTGGAGACCTATGCAAGGTCACACTAGTGCTTTCTCTCGCGGCTGCAGAAGCTGGTGGAAGCCCAGATCTGCCTATGACCTTGGCAGAAGGAAGAGTCACCTACAGCCTTGGTGATCTTTGGAGTCTCCACAGATCACCCTTCCCTTCCCTTCCCTTCCCTTCCCTTCCCTTCCCTTCCCTTCCCTTCCCTCCCCTCCCCTCCCCTCCCCTCCCCTCCCCTCCCCTCCCCTCCCTCCCCTTCCCCTTCCCCTTCCCCTTCCCCTTCCCCTTCCCCTTCCCCTTCCCCTTCCCCTTCCCCTTCCCCTTCCCCTTTCCCTTTCCCTTTCCCTTTCCCTTTCCCTTTCCCTTCCCTTCCCTTCCCTTCCCTTCCCTTCCCTTCCCTTCCCTTCCCTCTTGCCACTGCTGGATGGGGACAGATAGGCATCAGTAGGAGCTGGTTCAATGGTGACTGGATATAGGGAATAGTGTTCATGGCACCCAAAGAGCCAAGCAAATGCCCTCTTCCCTTTCTGTCCTTGTTTAATTTTATTTCTTTATTGCTCAAATTTCTCTCCCGGCTGTCTTGATCAAAGAGCTTCCAAATTTCAGATGGCGCCCCATGGTGTAACTCACTGGGGAGCATCCAGCCTGGCTCTCAGGCTTGGATCTTGGTGTGTCGCCCTTCGCGTGGGAACCACGCTGCCATCAGCTGGGTCCTGACAACTTCATTGACATCCTGGGGAGGACCACGGGGAGAACGGACAGTGTTCTGCTTAAGGGACAGTCAACTCCGCTTCACGGTGCGGATCACAGTGAATGATTATGAGTCTCATGTCTTAACAGTCAAATGAGAACATCGGCCTAAATTTTCTCTGAGCTCATTCCCCTCTCCTTTGTTTTCGTTCTCAGCTTCAACATTCCCGTTGCCTCAAAAGGTAGGAGTTCAACATTTCCAGTCCAGGTCCTGGCCAGCCGCCACCTCTAGCAGGAGGGGGTCTGGTTCTGGGCCAGGGGAATGCATTTGGAGTCACTTGCTCATTTAGCCTCCCCCCCCCCCGATCCCCCCATCCTGCCCTAGCCTTTGAGTGGGGCTGGAGGATTGTTCAGGGGGCATCTGTGCTGAAAGCTGAGAGGGAGTCACCCACAGAGGAGAGAGCTGTGTGAGGACTCGGAAGACGGCCGCCGTGCCCGTCATCAGCTCTCTCCTGGCCCAACCCTTGATCCAAGTCTGGTAATTTCCACCCTCTAAATTACTGGGTTAACAGAAATGGTACCAAAACGTGAAATGAAATGAGTAGGCGTACGTCATGCACCTGCATTTCCACACGATTCACAAGCCAGTGATTCTCAGCATCGTGCGAATCTCCACTACGTCATTGGTTAGAGAGAGAACTGTGCCACGTAACTTGGGCAGAAGACACGCAACCATGCAACCAGGTACCAAGGCCTTGGAAATGATGCCCAGGTGACCGTGCGACACGCCTCTCTTTCCTCACCGTCTCACTCCCCTGGTGTCCCTGTGAGTTGGTGATTCCAGTTGTCCTCATGGGAGACCGGGGCTCAGGCTGGTGGCGGGACTTTGCCTGGCTCGGGCCCAGAGCCGTCACTACGCTGTCCCCGCCCGCCAGGGACACAGCGCTTCCTAACAGAGCGGGCTTTCCATCGCCTGCCTGCATCATCGCTCCTCTGCGCCGGGCCCTCTTCCTCTCTTGAATGTGTTTCTTATCTGCCCGGGGCTGAGGTCACTCTCCGTGTCGGCAGGAGCCTGCGCTCGATCCTTTGCATCCCGGCGAGAAAAGGCAGGGATTGTGCAGAGGCAGCCAGGGTCGCCCATAGCTCCTTTGCACGGCCCAGTCAAGAGTCCGTCGGGATTCGAGGGGCCCGACCTACAGGACACGTGGAACCTCGCTGCACCCGGCAGGGCTGGGGACTGCGGGAAAGAGAGGGGGGCCTTTGAAACCAGAGACGGCTTTGGGTGACCCGAGAACACAGGTAGAGGCGCCGGAGACGGAGGGACGGCAGGCGGCCAGCGTGCTTTGAAGGCACGTAGAGGTCACCCCGGAGCGTCCGGCCCCTTTGCGGCTGGGGCCCGGGCACCAGGACCGTCCCCGCTGGGGCCCTTCCCGAGGCTCTCCTGCCGCACCCAATACCTGGGTCAGACAAAGAAAATCGTGTGTGCCAGGCTCCCCAGCTGAAGTCACAAGATTCCGAGTATCATGCGGCACTCTGGGATTCCTACAAACACCCATCAGGAGGGGTGCGCCGCCCGCCACTCGGACACGGCCGGGCACCCGACTTTTCAGATAAGAGCATTCAGTACGGGCTTGAGAAACCATGTGATGGTCATGGATTTCGTGAAGAGTAACTGGTTCCCCGCCCAGAGAAGAGCCCAAGTCTGCATCATCCAGATGTACCAAGGCCTGGAGACGGCCGAGCGGGCGGCCAGCAGATATGAGGTACGGCTGGAGCTGGGGGGAGCGGTGGGCGCACCGCTGATGCGGAGAAGCTGGAGGCGCCCCTCGCCAGGTGGTGCAGGTGTTTTGACTGGTCTAATACATGAATCGCCTTATTTGTACTCTTCCCCCGGCAAGCTGGGAAAAGACGTTTTCGCCTCTCCTTTCAGTGTTTGAGATACGGGAAGGGGGCGGGGGGCAGCATATCGCAGGAGTGTCCTTTACACATGACCCACGTCCGCATTTGCAAACACTTAGTAGGGACTAGCGAGCTCATTTGTATCCGCGTTTGGAAAGCGCAGTATGCGTCTGCCAGTTAGAGAGCCCTAGCTCTGTTCGTTTGTAATCATCCGTCTTTAGAAACAAATTCCCATTTGTTTCCTGGCGCCTTGTGTAGAAAAAGTATCTATGACTTGCCTTGCTGGAGTTAAAATTGCATGATTTAAGCCAGGCCCGGAAGCGTGGCCTTTTTGCTCCTTTGAGAGGGAATCCTAAGTTTTAAACAGAAGCGACTCTTTTTTTTGGGGGGGGGGAGGGATTGGGGGGGGAGGAGAAAAGGAGAATTTTGGAGTTTAGAATGTCAAAGTGAGATAAACACATCCCTCAGACACATTTGCATTCTGCAACTGGTGCAAGGCGCGAGCAGTTATCTTTCAAGAGTAAACACGCATGAAATCCGACCCGCTCGTTACTGTACATGTAATAAATTATGAATGTCGTCGTAATTGACTCCTCTAGAGCTCACTTACCTATCTCTTTTGATAAAGGTAACAGGTAAATTATCAGTGTTTTTGAAATGGGAACCTTTCCGAATGTTGATGCCCGTTGTTAGGAGGGCCTTCGCCCTGAATGCTGGCAAAGACCCCACATCTTTTGTTCCCCACTCCGGGCTTCCTCATTTCAGGGCAATGTGAGAACCTGTTCTGCAGGGTTCAAGGCTGGCTTCTTCCAGTTGCAGCCCTGGGATTGTGAATTTCCATGTTCACAACAGAGATATAGAGGCCTCAGAAATAATGGCATTAATTAGATTCAGTAATAGTTGTTCATTAGTTCATTGTCCAATCAACCAGAGCAAAAGGTGTGCAATTAGAATATAATTGAAAGAAACCAGAGATATTATTATTCACAAGTAATTAATTGGATGGGGACAGAATTTTATCATTGTATAATTTTCGTTCAGGTTACTTTTCGATCCTCCAGAGAGAGAAAGACTTGTTGAATTATACCATCTTGCATTTTGCAGACGTGTTCTTGGCTCCAGTTTAAGCCTTAAGTGACAGAGAGCAGCTCTGGTGTCCTGTTTTTTTTTTTTTTTTATGAATAAAACTTCATTTCTCCCTATAGCGACACTCAAGGCGACAATGTGGAGAAGTGCATCTTTGCAGGAGATTGTAAAAAGCTTTAAGCGTGCTGACAGTCACAGCTGCTGCTTTGTGTCCCCCACACCTCCCACCCCCAATTACCAGTTACAGTCAACAAGTGGAGGTTGTATGCCTGCCACCTGGCAGTAACCTGGAGTCTTAATTCTTATGTGAAAATGAGTCTGAGGCCCTCCCATAGCCATCAGGCCCCCAGCTGACGGACCTCACTGTGTCTGTGATTTGGGAAGTGGTCTAGGCAAGGCCCACTTTGCTCAGGGGCAGGTCAGGTTTGAAACCCAACATCGGATCCTTGCCTCCTTTCCCTCTTACTTCTGAGCTCTGCCCTTTTAGAGGCAAACATGTCAGAATTTAAAATATTCCATATCCATTGAACTATTCATATTATTCCCACGGGGGCATGTCAGCGCTGTTTAAATTAGGAATTCCAGGAAGGAGTCAACTTCCTTGCTCAGTTTCCAAGCTGAACTGATGATAGAGCCCAATTAACAGTCTTGGGGCCCTGTTAGACTTGGCCCCAGTGACCCCTTCTCTCTCACCAGCTCCAAGGTCATGGGTTAACCTGCCTGGGCTGTGACCACAAAGTACCTGATGGGGTGAGAAATGGACAGGGTCACTGAAGCAAACGCTCAGTGCACAGAGGTACTAGGTTAAAGAAACTAGCTGATTCTCCAGTAAAAGTGAGTTTTGGAAATTTTGTTTCTGTAAAAACCTTAGGCATTTCAAGTCCCTCCCATGAGGACCTACAAATCCACTCCAGTTGAGTTGAATGTCTAAAACTGGCATTTCTCTAAAACTGTTGTCTTTGTCCTGGGCTGTGTTAATGCCTGAAGAGGCTGCCTCTCATCTGAGATAAGCAGTGGCTCAGCCCGACTCTGTCCCAGGGGTGGCCCAGCCACACTCGTTCCCTTACTTAAACTGCCTTTTAATAGGAATGTACAGCTGACCTGTTTGTCTGAAATGTAAGTAGGATGGGAAATAGATGGTGGCGAGGGGTTTGCAACGCCTTGATCCCTGCTGATTCCAAAATGCTCCAAACTATTAAAAACACAGTGTGCTAAGGGCCTTTCTCTCCCTGCCTAGATATCTGATAGACTTCAGACTTAAAAATAGCCAGAACCGAGTAATGGGACGGACCTGCGCTTGAGTTCTGGCTGCTGATCACACTGCAAACATGGCCACATCCCGAGAGTCCTTACAGAAGCAGAGCAGGGATGGTTTCCACTTGAGGGGAACCACGTGGAATTCAGAGATGCGCTTGCATCTCCTAGAGTGTGGATATGAGCTAGCATCTCCTAATTGACTGTTGAGAACCTTCTGCTTATAGGCACAGGCTGGGGCATGCAAGTCAAGTCTCATCCATCCGTCTTCTCTTGGGTGACAGTTTCTAATACATTTAATCATTAGATGAGCCAGAGAAAGTTTCTGTATGTGGTAATCGCCTTGTGGCTATGCTTTTTAAGATTTCCTAAAACTTCTATCATTTCTATCTCTCCTTCCTACTCATCCTTTTTTTTTTTTTTTTGGATTTGGCAGTGATGCTCAATTCTGGCTGACTGTAAGAATCATGGCAAACTGTTATTTTTAAATTTTTTTTGACATGCAAAGATTGCACACATTTAAAGTATAAATTTTGATGAGTTTGGACATAGGCACACACCCATGACAGCCATCAATCACCACAATCAAGGTTCTAAACGTATCCATCACCTCTAAACATTTCCTGTTTTCTTGTGCATGTGACTTTTTTGTTTGTTTGTTTGTTTTTTTTGTTGTTGTTGTTGGTAAAGATGCTTAACGTGAGATGTGTTCTCTTACTGTATTTTAAAGGGTGTTAGCTCCATGTTGTTAACTATAGGCACTCGTGTTGTACGGCAGAGCTCTGGACTCACTAATCTATCACGTAAGCTTTACACCCACTGAGCAACAGCTTCCCGTTTCCCCTTCCCCAGTCCCTGGCAACCACCATTCTATTTTTGGCTTCTAGGAGTTTGGTTTAGATGCCTCATATAAGTGGAATCATGTGGCATTTGTCCTTCTGTGATGGACTTATTCCCCTGAACGTAAAATCCTCTGGTTTCTCCCGTGTTGTTGCAAGTGTAGGAATTTCTCAATTTTTAAGCCTGAATAATATTCCATTGCATGTATATGCTACATTTATTTATTTATTTTTTTAAAGATGATTTTTATTACCTCTTTTTTTTTAAATTTTTATTTATTTATGATAGTCACAGAGAGAGAGAGAGAGAGAGAGAGAGAGAGAGAGGCAGAGACACAGGCAGAGGGAGAAGCAGGCTCCATGCACCGGGAGCCCGATGTGGGATTCGATCCCAGGTCTCCAGGATCGCGCCCTGGGCCAAAGGCAGGCGCCAAACCACTGCGCCACCCAGAGATCCCTATATGCTACATTTAAAAAAAATCTGTTCATCTGTTGATGGACCATTTGGGTAATTTCCTTATGGTGAACTTTTAACACTGACATATGCTCATCGCCCAGCCAAGGCCATTGTGACCCAGGGCAGGTGTGTGGGGTTGTGTTGTATTCCTTTAAAGAGGATTGAACTTTGGTCCCGTGTGAGGTGAAATTACCTGCAAATGATCTGATCCTTGTGAGGCTGACTTTTCCCCACACTTTAATCTAGGGGATTCGTCCTCAATAAGTGATGGTTTTGTCCCCAGGCGATACTTGGTAAAGCCTGGAGACACTTTGGTTGTCACAGCGTGGGGAAGATGCTACTGGTACCTACTGAGGAGGGGCCAGGGATGCTGCTAGATATACTGCTGCGTCCAGGGCTGTCTTCCACCACCAACAACAAAGACCCACCTGACCTGACATGTTCACAGTGTGGAGGCTGAGAAGCCCTGGCCTAGGGCTGATTGAGCCCCCACTGTCAAAGTACAACCCTTGGGAGGACCTACTTAATGCCCCGTGTGTGTGTGAGAACTTTCCACCAGGGCCAGTAGGAGCATGAACTGTTTCCAGCCCTTGGGAAAGATCCCAGAAGCATCTGACCTACTACTTTCTGGTAGTTCTTTTTCTGGTTTTATGCAGTTTTCTCTTAAGCATGCGAAAATCAGTATTCAGCCAGAGACTGGAGGGACCTGTTGCTGGTTGCTGGAGTTCTCTTTCCCTGCAGTTCACTCCTCTTCAGAATTTAGCCTCAAATTCTGCTGGCTCAGTTTCTTGGAGTCTTGATCTCTGCCTCCTTTGCCCAATGCTCCTCTCTTGAGCTTCTGCTTTGTGCTCTGCAACCTGGAAACTGCCTCTGGGTAGGGACAATTGTAGGGCTTCCTCCTGTCATGCCCCCTCCCTCCAGGATCATAGACCCCATTGCTTCATAGCTTTTGTCTTTCTGCTCCATCGTAGCTGGAAGTGGAAGCGCCCCCCACCCCCTAGGTAGTTTTAATGTCCCACCACGGTTGAGAGATGCCACTTTGGGCTTTGCCGAATGTCTTCTTGGGTTGGGGTGAGCCCTAGGTCATAGGAGATAGAAGTACTCAGGTTTTAGGTGCTTGGACTTCAAGATAACTTTATTTGGGGAATGAAGAAGTCAATGAGAGGAAACAGGAAGTAAAATAAACATTCCCTTTCTTCTCACAGTTACCAAACGGGGCAAAATGATG